GCTGCGAGGGCTGGGGGCGCTGGCGGCTGCGAGGGCTGGGGGCGCTGGCGGCTGCGAGGGCTGCTGCGCTGGCGGCTGCGAGGGCTGCTGCGCTGGCGGCTGCGAGGGCTGCTGCGCTGGCGGCTGCGAGGGCTGCTGCGCTGGCGGCTGCGAGGGCTGCTGCGCTGGCGGCTGCGAGGGCTGCTGCGCTGGCGGCTGCGAGGGCTGCTGCGCTGGCGGCTGCGAGGGCTGCTGCGCTGGCGGCTGCGAGGGCTGCTGCGCTGGCGGCTGCGAGGGCTGCTGCGCTGGCGGCTGCGAGGGCTGCTGCGCTGGCGGCTGCGAGGGCTGCTGCGCTGGCGGCTGCGAGGGCTGCTGCGCTGGCGGCTGCGAGGGCTGCTGCGCTGGCGGCTGCGAGGGCTGCTGCGCTGGCGGCTGCGAGGGCTGCTGCGCTGGCGGCTGCGAGGGCTGCTGCGCTGGCGGCTGCGAGGGCTGCTGCGCTGGCGGCTGCGAGGGCTGCTGCGCTGGCGGCTGCGAGGGCTGCTGCGCTGGCGGCTGCGAGGGCTGCTGCGCTGGCGGCTGCGAGGGCTGCTGCGCTGGCGGCTGCGAGGGCTGCTGCGGCCGCTGTGAGGGCTGCTGCGGCCGCTGCGAGGGCTGCTGCGAGGGCTGCTGCAAGGTGGGAGCTGACGTGCCCGGCTGGCCCTCGCCCAGAGCTGGCGGATCTGTGGGCTCTTGAAATGGCGCTTGTGACGTGTGCGCAGGCGCTGCGGCGAGCATGGCGGGCGGGTCTGCGAGGGCGACGGCGGCGGCGGAAGCCAGTGAGGACGGCCGACGGCGTGTGTTTTGTTGCTTTGAATGGGTTCGAAGAGGCTATCCCTTCTTAAAACCCCATTTTGCTGCGCCGGGTCGTATCCAGGCTAGTCACAAGGCTAGTTTACCAGCTTCGAGCTCGTAGGTCCTACGAGGTCGGATCTGCGAGCTCGAGGGCTTGTAACTAGCCCCGTTACCATGCTCGCACTTTCACGCCGAGGGGCTAGCGAGCCCCATCCCGCTCGTATTCACAGCAAGAGTGAACACTCCCAGGCCCCTTTCCGCCAGGGTTTCGCCAAGAACAAGCGCACCGCCTTCAGTCGTACGATGTGGCCAACACTGCTGTTCGCGGCTCCGTGTCTTGGCTCGCCCATGGATGGTTTTCTCCGGCCCGTGTTTGGCTCCGCCTGCCTCCCGCTCGACGTGCGCTCGTTTCTCACGAGTGACATCCGAGAGGCGGTGACGCAGCAGTGCGCCTCGCTCGTCGAGGGCCGCGGCACGCGCGTCTGCTCCGCCGAGTGCCGCGACGCCGTCCTCGCGTTCCGCGGGCACCGCTGCTACTCCCACCTCTCCCAGTCGCAGAGGCGTCGCAGCCGCCTCGCGCACCCGCGCCGCATGCGCACCGCGCCCTGTCGCCACGCCGCGCCTCGAATCCGCGCCCAATAGGCTGCAGCCTCGCACCGCGGCGCCGCTTCACCCGCGCGCTGCAAACTCAAAGACGCTGGCGGCGCTGCAAGGGAGCGTAGATGCGCGATGCGGATTTACATTCCGACCAGCACTCTAGTCTGTATTCGGTCTTGTTCAGCCGTGTTCAGCTGTGTTCAGCTGTGTTCAGCTGTGTTCAGCTGTGTTCCGTGCGTATTCGGCCGTATCCGCAGCCCTCGCATTCACTCCATGCTCCGAGTCGACCGTACGATCCCGTCTTCCCGCCCTGACCTTGGCGTATTCGTGACGCAGGCAGGGGATCTGGTACGGACTATACCCTGCGAGCGGGATCGACCTTGTCGAGGCGAGCGCGCGCGCACACACACACGCGCACACACACACACACACACACACACACACACGCGCGCGCGCGCGCGCGCGCGCGCGCGCGCGCACACACACACGCACACACACACGCACACACACACACACACACACACACACACACGCACACACACACACACACGCACACACACACACGCACACACACGCACGCACTCACACACTCACTGGGCCTTGCACATTCAATGCTGTGGGGCTCCTGTCAACCTTGGCGTGGAGTCGCGACGGCTGCCTGGCCCATGCCCACCACCGAAGGTGTGCAGAAGGTGACCTGATCTTGCCCTACCTAAGGCGAGGCTCGACGCAGCCGCCGGCACGCTCTCCGCGACCAAGCTGACCGGGCGCAACTCTGTGCGAGCGGGCCGCGTCCATGACACGTCCGGGACGGTGTCCGAGACACGTCTGTAGGAACGAGTTTGTGCGAGCCGGCCGCGTGAGCTGGGAGGTGGGTCCGGGCGGCGGCTGCAAGATGGCGCGGATGCGCGCCGCGCGGGAGGAGGCTGTCCACTCGCCGTCTCCGTGACGTCTTGTGGCGTGTGCGATAGGTCTCGTCGATGTGGCAAAACGCGTACACGCCGCGCTGGGACGGGTGCGCGGTGGAGGTGGGCGCCTAGCGCAGCGCCTCGGAACTCACCCATTTGGCTCGCCGACAAGCCTCCGCGCCCCCACACCGTTGCGAGAAGACTGGCCCAGGCGTGAGGGGATGGGCACAGAAGCGCGCGTTCCAGTCTGCACTCGAAGAGGGACAGCGTATTCAACGGCATGCATTGGGCAGCCGCATTCCGCGGTAGATCTATTCGTAGCCCGCGCATGCACGCGATGCTGCGAGGCACATGTTCTCGACTCGGTGTTCCCGCCCTGACGTTGGTGTGTTCCATGGCGTGGGTGGCCGCCGCGGACACGTCCACCGCCCACTCAGAACGCCTTCTTCTCTCTCGGCTCACGGGCTTCTTCCTTGTGTAGGTTGCCGACGCGGACCACATGTCCATCACTCTGCACACGGGCGACGAAGGCGAGCAGAAGCTGGCGTTCGTGCGCGCAGTGCTGCCCGAGCTGCTTCGGTGGGCCTGCTCGCCACGCATGAGCGTGTCGCTTGTCTGTCTCGCTTGTCACTCTGCGTGCCGCGGCGCGCTTGCGCCGTCTGGGTGCAGAGATGCGAGGGATCGTTTGCGCCCTCGCCCGGCCACGTCGCGTGTGTGGGGGGAGGGGGCGCTCATACCCCCCCCCCCCTTCGCTCAGGTGGGACAACCCGTCTTCGCCGTCGCACGGCTTCCACAGAGCGATGGCGATCTGCGGCGTCGACCCCGAGGACGCATCCACTTCGGCCGTCGAGGCGCTGCTCGAGGCGCCGCGCCACCGCGAGGCTGGAGGCGGCTGGAGGAGGCGCGTTCACACCCGGTGCGCGTGCGAGCAGGTGCTGCATCACACGCAGGGCACCGTGTTGCTGGACCAGCTGCTGCTGCTCGCGCCGCTCCTCCTCCTCGGCAGCTGGCAGGCGGGCGGCGGCCACGGCTCCGCCACGCTGCTGCTCGGAGGCGCAGTTCTGCTCGTCCTCTTCGTCCGCCTCACCTACCTTGGCGTCTTGCAGTGAGCGGCCGATTCTCGGGCGAGAGCTCGGCGCGTGCAAATTAAGTGGCGTGAGTCGGACTGAGGTGAGCTGGCTCGCGGCGTGAGCGGTGGATCGTGGATCTGGATGCCCCCCGTTAATAAATCGGCGCGCTCGTGTTCCCCCTCAGACTAGGGTGTAGGGGGCACGCCGCATCGGCATGATTTTTGTTTGGGTCGTCACAACGCGTCACAGCGTAACACGACGAGAGCGAGAACGTGGATAAAAAAGACTTCACCAAGAAAAGAAATCGCGGGCACGTGTCCGCTCGAACCCGTCGATGGAGCTCGATCTAACCACCTCATCAACACAGTAGTAAAACACGACGGGGACGGCGCGACGAGGCGAGTCGTGTAAGGAACGAAAACACAATCACAACACAGAGCTGCAGAGCAGCAGTTGCCAGTTGCAGTGCTGGTACGTGCTGGCGCTGACCGTTGCTGCAGCAGCTTGCGCAGTCCGGCTCAGTCCGGTGTTCGCCCAAGAGACGAAGAGACAGCTCTCAAGCGCAGGTCGTGCGCCACCCGAGGCGAGTGGCGGGCATCGACCACAGTGCAAGGCAGGGCGGGCACATCAAAGCTTCTGCGCCGCATTCCGCATGTTGAAGCTCGCCTCCAGCGCCCCCATGTCCTCGACGAGGATCTGCGGGCCGGTGCGCTCGACCTCGAGATCCTTGGAGAGAGTGATGTGGTCGTTGTGCGCATCTGTGAGAGCAAAAGGGGCGGTGCGCGCTCGTAAGCGCTGGGAAAGCCTGCAAGCAGCGCAAGAGGCATGCGCACCCTTCACCATCCCGTCGCACGTCGCGGCGATGCCCTGGCAGTACTGGAAGAGCGGCAGCACGTCAAACGGCTCCTCCACCTGCACGCCAATGTCCTCGGTGCCAAGCCTGCGCGACAGAGGTGCGGCCTCATGCACGGTAAGGCAGGGCCGACCCGGGCGCGGCTCACATGGCCCATGCCACGAACGTCGCCGCCAGCGGCGTCGCAGTGCCGACGATTGGCCAGAGCACAAACGGCATCGCGTTGCACCTGATGCAATCGCCATCGTGAGATCGGCTGCATCCCCTGGAACGAGTCGAGCTCGGACATGGGCGTGCGTGGCGCGCACCAGACCATCAGGAAGCGCGAACAGTGCCGCGTGAAGGCGGTGGGGATGGGCGTGCGGTGGATGCGCTCGCAGGCGCCCATCGCGCCGCAGAGGCGCTGGAAGTGCCGCTCGAGGAGCTGCCCGTCGCGGATGGCGCGGTCGGGGCGGTCGCCGCAACGCGCCCAGATGCCAGCGTGGGAGGCATTGCACATCTGTTGGATCGTCCACAGCGGCCGGTGCGAGGAGCTGAGACAATCCTCCAGCTCCCGCGCCTGCACCGGGTCGGACGGGCTGAAGCAAACCATGCTCAGCTCCTTGCGCAGCTCCTCCTTGACCTTGGACGGCAGTTCGGGGTCAGTGCGCGAGACGCGGTCGTCCGGGTTACCGCCGTCGATCGTGAGGTGGTACTTTAGCACGATGTTGAACGCCTTGGTCATGCGGCACACCTTCGCGGCCTGCGCCTTGCCAAACTTGTCGTCCTTGCTCTGCGGCAGCCACTGGAGGGCAATGCGCGTGATGTCGCGCGAGGTGTTGACGATCTCGCCCCACAAGCAGCGCGCCTCGTTGTAGCGCGAGACCGTCGTGTTGGTGCGGAACGTGACGAGGAGGCCGAGCGCCACAGATGGGAGCACGATCGGCTCGGGCGGCATGTACAATGGAAGCTCCGCAAAGCAGTTGTAGGTGCACAATGCGGCTGAAGAGGAGAAGATGAGGGCAATGTCGGGGAAGAGGATGCGCTGGGTGGCGGCGGAGTAGCCCCAGGTGACGAAGTGCCGAATGTGTCTCTTGGGGTCCTTGTGCATGCCCCACCTACGAACAGGAAATCGAGGGAGTGGGGAACCTCGACATGGAGCGGTTTCGCGCGCGGCTGGGAGCTTCACTTTCCGTGGTCAAAGTTCTGATCGCGCGTGGGCATATCGCGCATCGGCCGCTTCTCCTGCGCACCAGTACGCGGGCATTAGGCGCCTGGTTGGGCCTGCCAGGGCTGCGGCAATGCGGGGCGTGTGAGGGGCAGACGCCCGACGGCCGCTCGTGGACCTGCCCTCCCTTCTCCAACTCCATCGAAATCCAGTTTTGGACCTCCGTGCTCCACGAAGTGAGCCACCCGGCTGGGGCCGCACTGGTGCTCGACCATCGCCGCGAGAGAAGCGTCGCCGACCTCTTGCGGAGCATGCTTCTCTCGAGATTCAGGTCGAAGCCCGAGGAGGTGCGGCGTTCCAAACGAGGCGTGGCGACCGAGATAAAGCCGTGAAGTTCAGACCACGCCTGCTATTCACAGCACAAGCCCTCGCCGGGGGCTCGAGCATGCGCAGCGAAAAGTCCTTTTTCCAGACGGATCCCCCCCTGTGAAAAAGTGAGGCGTGGTCTGTACTCGCCAGTGCATGCAGGGCTGGCGAGGTACTTCCAGCCTGCTGTGGGAACAGCTGACGCAGCCTCGCCGAGGCTCGCCCCAGCAGGGTTGACTCGGCCAGACAAAAAAACCGAGAGGCGTGGGAGTACAGTACCTCGCCAGGTACAGGGCGGCAAGTGGGAGTGGGGTATGGATTCCCGCCCAGCTCTGTGTTGCAACCTGTGTCACCCGGAATCCATACTGTCACTCCAAATCCATAAAATATCTCGTCTGCAGCGCAATTTGCTGCAAACGATAGTGCAAACTCAATTGTTTTGACCAGTATTCACCCCCAGCATGAGCATGCGCACCATGCTAGCCTCTCAGTACATGCACTCTCTCTTCCTCACCCCGCCCCCTTCCCATTCCGCAGCCTCGAGTCCGGAGCCCACCACCCATGCCCCCACCACCCAGTCGCGCCTCGTAGTCGATCCGCGCCTGCATGCGTGCGATCTCCTCCGTGCGCCGCACCTGCTCCTGCTCTTTGGAAGCCCTGTCCTGGGCACGAAGCACCGCAAGCTGCTCCGCACTCGCGTGGGCCCGGCGCAGCAGCCAGCCACGGCGAGCTCGTCATGCCGGGCCCCTGCACGAAGGATGGCGGGGGGAACATGCCCCCGCTCGACGGTGCAACCACAGGGGCAAACGGCTCTCCACCGCGAGTGAGAGGGATTGGTGCCTCCGGTCTCGGCTTGGCCTTTTTTTTGTGGACCGGCGCACCACCTGGCGGCGGCGGCGGTGCGATCACTGTTTGGATTGTGAGGAGACCCTCCCGGCGCGCTCACTCACAAGCGCTCGCGGCTGGAGCGATTGGGAGCGCCCTCTGTGCGACGCTAGCAATCCTTGGATCTTGGGTACGATTGTGAGCGCCGCCGCTCATAGTCCTACAAGATGTAGGATTGCGAGCGCTACTGCTCGCAATCGGAGGCATGTTGCTCGGATTGTGAGCAAAGCTGCTCGCAATCCTAGACTTTGCTCGGATTGTGAGCGCGCTAGTAGTAGTCGTAGGCGTCACCAGTCACCTTGTGAGCGGAGCTGCTCTTAGTCCTACAGTTCCGGACGGGCATTAAGAACGCACAGGTTCTTCGCCCAGCCTCAGGTTCTTAGCTAAGTTGGCGGTCCGTCGGGGGCCGAGCCTCAGGTTCTTAACCGGGTGGATGGTTTTTAAAACCGTTTCGGCTTCGATTAAAAATCAACAAAATTGGGTGTTAAAACAGTTTGGAAGTTTGGAACAGTAAGTTCGCATGGCGTGACAAGAGAGTCATATGTTGGACTGTTGCGCGCTCGCGCGTCGTTTCGTTGTTTGTGTGAACCTTGTATGTGTGTTGCATGGGATGCCGCGCTCGCGAGTCTCGGTCACATCGATGGTTGTAGTATAGAACCCAGCATCGCCCAGCCTCAGGTTCTTAGGGAGTTCTTAGGGATCCGGCCGAAATATCAGCCTCAGGTTCTTAACGTTAGAGGTTCTTAATGCCCGTCCGGAACTGTAGAAGACGTAGGATTGCGAGCGTGGGTGCTCACAGTCGCACAGAGATGCTCCGATTGAGAGGAGTGCTGCTCACAATCCTTCGACTTCTAGGATTGAGAGCGAGGCTGCTCTCAATCCTAGCGGTCTAGAAAAGAAGGTTCACCGACACTGGGCACGGGACTGGCGCGTTAAGAAAGAACATGCATGACAGAAATCGATCTCCCCGCCTGCACGAGCAGGATTTTGGAAGGACGATCAAGGGGCAGCTCGCAGTCCATGGACGGCGTGAATGAAATAACGCCTCGCACACAATATCGCATCTCGTCCGCATCTCCCTCGAGAATCATGTCGAAGTCGAATTGAGGCGCCCCTACATGTAGTCGCACCCGCACCTCAAAAGCGTATCTCCCCCGCACCGATGCTCTTCGCAATGCGCCCCGCCTCGAAGCTCCCCCAGCGCGTGGGCATTGCTCGCGCTGTTCGCGTGCTCTCAACCAGCGCGCGCCCTGTTCCCAGCTGTGTCGGAGTCTCCCCCCGCGGCGACATCACCTCGGAGGACGTCGTCGCGGCGCAGGCGGCGTGGTCCAATGCCATCACCGGCATCACCAAGGTGTACCAGGAGGGAGGCGACTTCGTCGCGGCCGCTGGGTACTGCGCGGGCGAGCTCTACGGTTACGGCCACTCCAACGTGCTTTTCAAGCCAACCAGGGCGACCAACAACCCGTTCCGCCCGACGGGTGAGGACGCGATGGCGTACTTTGTGGGCGCAGAGGCGATGAAGAACGACAAGTTCAAGGTGCGCGCATGCATCCGCCCTCGCGTCGCTCCCGCGCACTTCCCCTCTCTCACGCGCGCGCACCCCCCCTCCCCCCCCCCTGCCACACAGGGTGAGGACGGCGGCTTCGCCATCAACGGCGGACAGGGCTGGTCCGAGGTGGTGTTCCGCAACCACCAGATCGATTGCAACGGCAACACGGCTATCGCAATGGGCGACTACCTGTTCACGAACGCGACCACTGGCGACGTGGGCCGCGTCGAGTACACCTTCGGCTACAAGAAGAACGATGACGGCAAGATGCGGATTTTCCTGTGCGTGCCGTGCCGCCCCTCCTCCCAGCCTATATCTCGGCTTATCTCAGCCTGCGGCGCCCCATGCAGGCACCACTCGTCCATGCCGTACGAGCCCGCCGCGGCGGCCCCCGCGAACGACTCGGTTGAGGAGGCTCTGTCGATGTGGGCCGAGTCGATCGCCAAGCAAGAAGATGCTCTCGCACGCTTCAAGATCGGCGGGATGAGCAAGCCGTAGATATAGGATGTGCCTCTGAGAGGGGCGAAGTGGTTAGTTGGTGGGATGGATGTGCAGTGGGCGCTGACAATGGACAGGGCGAGAGCTCTCTCTCCGCGCGCATTTGCCCTCTGGTCTTGCCCTGGACACTGGAGCGTGTCCGGGAACCTAGTCTCTGTGGCGCGGCGTGTGCTCTTGAAGAGCGGCGGTGCGGTGTGCGGGCGTGCAGCGCGAGGGACATTCCTCTGTGTTCCACCCGCGACCCGGGCTAATGATATTAGTCATTGTTGCACCCGCGCGCCGCGGAGACACGTCCACACATCTTGCACGGCGCGGTCAAACCACAAACGACCACCATGTGTGTATCGCGCGCCTTGCGGGGGGGGGCGCGGAAAAGAGGAACCTCTTAGCGCCATCGCCATGGTGCTGCAAGCAGCGCAGGCAGGCATACCGCCCACCACAAGAAGTCAACCCGTGCAGCGCCCTGGTTCTCCGAAAGACCCCCAGCCCGGCAAGGCGCGGACAAGGCGATCCCCATGGGCAACACCCCCAGCCGGAAGGCGCTGGACAAGGCGATCGGCGCGCTGCCCGAGTCGGAGCACTACTTTGGCCTCGAAAACTTTGGCAACACGTGCTACTGCAACTCGGTGCTGCAGGCGCTGTACTACTGCGGCCCGTTCCGCCAGGTTTGCCCCAGCGCGCCGCCCGCCACGCGCCCTCGTCTCCCACGCCTGGCCTTGACCCGATCTCGCCGACCGCCGCCCCTCTGCGCCACCGCTCACTCTCCGGGTGACTCTCCCCATCCAGCGCTGCCTGGAGCACCACGCGGTCGCGGCGAGCAGCGGCGAGGACGACCTCCTCGCCTGCCTCTGCGACCTGTTCCGCGCCATCTCCTCGCAGAAGCGCCGATGCGGCGAGCACGCGCCTCTATGGGAGAGGGTCCACACCTCTCCGGACCCTTGCGGAGGTTGCCTATAGGCGTGCACGCGCCACGCCGTTTCGTCGCAAAGGTCGCTGCTCTCCTCCGCTCCACTCGGCTCTGCCTGCTCTGCTCTCTCTCTCCCCCTCTCTCCCCCTCTCTCTTCCTCTCTCCCTCTCTCTCCCTCTCTCTCCCCCCCTCCCTCCCTCTCTCCCTCCCTCGCCAACACCGCACGTCTTCACACTGCGCAGCTGCGAGGCGTGAACGAGCTCTTCAACAACCAGATGCACCAGGACGCGCACGAGTCCCTCAGCCTAGATGCCGACTACGGTTCTGTGTGCCCCGACTGGCGCCCGAGAGGACGCGTCTTCCGCCGCATTCCGCTGTGCTCACTGCATCCGCAGCCCCGCCTACTCACGCGATGCTCCGAGTCGTCACGGCACGAGGACCGTACTCGGGTTCGCTCGCCATCTGGTTCACCGGTTCACTCACACTGCAGGTTCCTCAACTACCTCCTCAACGAGTCGGCGGAGCTGCTCGAGAAGCGGCAGAAGCGCGAGGCGATGAGGCAGAAGGACGGCGCGGCGGGCGAGGCGGGCGGCGCGGCGCGCGGCGGGGCGGAGGCGGGCGGCACCTCGGAGGGGGGCGGCGGGCCGTCGGCGGCGGCGGAGGGCGGTGAGGTGGTGCGGCCGGGCGGCGCGGACGGCGAGGCGGGCGGCGCGGCGGCGGGCGGCGACGAGGACGAGGGCAAGGAGGGGGAGGGAGGCGCGTACGTTCCAAAGACGTGGGCATCTGCGTCACTAGATGCGGAAAAGCAGTCGGTCGGTGTGTTGGCGACGCATCTCACACAAATGACGGGTGAGAGGACGCGCCTGCGGCCGATCCGACGCTCCCGTACTCGCGGCCGCCCTTGCGCGCCTCCTCTCCCCGTGCGCTCTCGAGAGAAGGCTCCTCTCCCGGACATGTTGTGGTTTGCATGCCACCCTCCCCCTGCCCGTGGCGTGCAACGCACCAGGTGCACTCCATCTTCGAGGGCGTGCTCACGAGCGAGACGCGCTGCATGTGCTGCGAGGCGCGACTGGACGAGACTGGACGAGATTGGACGAGATTGGACGAGATTGGACGAGATTGGACGAGATTGGACGCGCTGTTCTCACGCCCTCTCACCCCTCTCCACCCCTCTCACCCCTCTCACCCCTCTCACCCCTCGCCCCCCCTCTCGCCCCCCCTCTCGCCCCCCCTCTCGCCCCCCCTGTGTGTGCTACAAGGCGCGCCGAGCCCTCCTCCCTCGCCCCTCCCCCCTCGTCCCTCGAGTCTCCTCGAGTCTCCTCTCCCCCCCTCGTCCCTCCCCTCACCCTCCCGCCCCTCTGTGCTGCCCAGGCGCTCACGACGCGCGACGAGCGGTTCCTCGACCTCTCGCTCGAGATCGAGCAAAACTCGTCCGTCTCGGCCTGCATGCGCAACTTCTCGTCGTCGGAGCCGCTGCGCGGCGACAACAAGTTCTTTTGCGACACGTGCTGCTCGCTGCAGGAGGGCCAAGCGCTGCACGCGGGTAATCTCGGGTAATCTCGGGTGATCTCGGGTCATCTCGCTGCAGGAGGCCAAGCGCTGCATGCGGGTCAAGCGGCTGCCAAACGTGCTCGCGCTGCACCTGAAGCGCTTCAAGTACGTGGAGCAGCTGCAGCGCTTCAAGAAGCTGTCGTACCGGATCGCCTTCCCCCTCGAGCTCAAGCTGACCAACACGGCAGAGACGGCGGCGGAGCCGGACCGAAAGTACTCGCTCTTCGCCGTCGTCGTGCACGTCGGTGCGGGGCCGTCGCACGGCCACTACATCTGCCTCGTCCGCTCGCACAAGCACTGGCTCCTCTTCGACGACGACACCGTCGACCTCGTCGAGGAGGGGTCGCTCCAGTCGTGCTTCGGGTCCGCGCTCGAGCCGGCCGAGGTGCTGTGAACAGCGTCTCTTCACACCTCCAGCTGTGAACAGGTCCGCGCTCGAGTCGGCCGGCTCCACAGAGACCGGCTACATCCTCTTCTACCAGGCGAGACCGCTCGAGATCGCCCGAGGCCGCCCGAGGCCGCCCGAGGCCGCTCGAGATCACACGAGATCACACGAGATCGCATCTCCACCTTCTCCTCCTCCGCTGCGCAGGCCGACGACGCCTGGAGCGCCGCGCCGTCCGAGGAGGGCGAGGCCTCACCCTCCGCCGCAGCCTCGCCTGCCACGTCGCCCGGGCAGAAGAGTAACTCGTCGCCCTCGAGCCCCTCCTCCATACCGCGCTGGCAAGGGGCGTCGACAGCGGCTTCCGCGTCGCGCGGCGTGCCGAGCTGCACAGCCAAACACTGATGGGGCCGGGGGCGTGTGCTTCGTTTGAGCGTCTTTGTGTTGAGCTGGAATACACGCGCGCCGAAAGGGCGTCCTCTCGCTACTCCTCTTCACCCCAGCCCCGCGCACGCGCCGCGATACGTTTCGTCCCACACAGGAGAACAAGTGCGTCGACGGACTTCGCGTCGCACCTCGGTCGCACTCCTCCGCGTCAAAACACCGGACCGGCTCCCCCCGGCCGTGTGCTCCCTTGGCTGCGTGTAGGGCTGAGAGATATAGCGCGCAACCGCGAGGCCTGACATGTCGTCCTACGCGCTACGGTTCTAAGGAAGGCGTAAAATATTGATTCTCGCCCCTCTAACTATTGATATTGATTATTGACAGCATCCCCTCTAACTATTGACAATATATTGACATATTGATCGCTGATTTTAACCTCCAAAAGCACCAATGTCGCCATTTGTCCCAAACATTGCCTAGATGTGGGCTGAAATCGAAAAAATCGCGAGTTCAAGGCGATTTTTAATGCGGTTTAAGCGATTTCGAAGCGATTTTGGCCCGTTTTTAACGATTTAGAGCCACTTTCAAGCCCAGGCCCACCTGACGGTCCTGACCAGCCCAGGCCCAGCCTCTCCTCTATAACTATTGCCATTACATTGATATTGATCGCATCTCTAACTATTGGAGCAATATATTCAATATTTTACGCCTTCCTTATAACATATAACGGTTCTACCTCTAGATTACACTACAGGTCTACACAGCGAGTCAGAGAAACGGCACCACACACACGGCTGGAACACGGCAGCTCCCCACCCCCCTACCCACCGTCTGTAGCGTTTGGGGGGGGGGGCGACTGGCGAGAGGCGACGGCAAAAATAAGCCCCGCCCCTGCGCCCTGGCCACTGTCGGCTCCTAGAAGGGGTCTTTTCATCCTCGCAGCGCAAATCTATCGCAGCGCACCACTCGCCATCTGTGAGCCTAGCGCAGCGCGAACTCGCCGTCTGAGCCTAGCGCAGCGCGAACTCGCTCTGAGCCTAGCGCAGCGCCTCGGAAAACACCATTTTGGCTCGCCAACAATAAATAAATAAATAAATACAACGGACATCCCAAGCTAGGGCTGGGTCGAGGACAGAGCCTTCCGCGCCCCAGACATCAGAATTTCTTTTTATCCTACGAGTACCTCGCTCGAGAGTCCCTCACCCGGCGGCACTGTAGCCGCCGATGATCGCCTCTGTTGTCGCCCGTCCCACGGCCGGCCCTTCCTCGCCCGCGGACGAGTACATCCCTCTCCGGCTGAACGACCGAGAAAGGGCGCTCCTCTGCGTTCTCGAGGGCGCTCTTCAGCCCTCGCAGCGCACGGCTCGACAGACGCACTCTCACTCCTCTGCGACAGTCCAGGTGCGCTCTCAGTCTCCGAGTACACCGACAGGGTCGACTCGGTCATGGCGTGGCGCGGCGCGAGGACGGGACGCGCGGTGGAGGAGCTGCAGGAGATGCTCGCCTACATGACCGGCCTCGCCGTCGCCGCCTCGCTCAAGGCGCCTTGGCAGCACGGCCGTCGGCAGCTTGGCGCGGGAGGCTTGAAGCTCCCTCTGCTTGTCTTCAGGTGAGTCACGAGCCGTGTCTGGAGGCGAACGCGGACGTCTTCCGCGAGGCGTTCGAGGTCGGCCGACGGTTCAAGGGCATGAACCCGGACAAGATGCGAGCGTCGTACGGCAAGCTCATCTACATGTTGCAGGCGAGCTGGAGCCGAGACAGAGCCACGACCACAGCCGAGGCACCGACTCGCGGGGCTGTTGCGCCCTGCTCGCAGGACGCCACCGCGCCCGACGTCATCAGAGAGCTGGGGTTCGATCCGCTCTCGCGCGTGCAGACGGTGCACGCCGAGCTCGCTCTCCTCTCCTGCCTCGACCTGCTGGAGGAGCCGGAGCTGCCTCTCGCCGCCAGCCCCGCCCACTCGGCGGAGGCGGCAGACGCCAAGGCGGCCGCAACGGCGCGGCTGCTCGCGCGCTTCGCCGACGGGGACGCTGAGCGTGCTGTGCGGCTCGAGCGGTGCTTGCTCTCGCTGGCCGACCACGCGTGCCTCGTCGAGGCGAGCTCTAGCCGAGGTCCAGCCGAGGTCCAGCCGAGGTCCAGCCGAGGTCTAGCCGAGGTCTAGCCGAGGTCTAGCCGAGGGTCCATCTCTCGGCACCCTCTCGGCGCCCTCTCGCCGCAGGCGCACGTCTCGCCCGTCGACGCGATGCTGCGGCTGCTGCGGACACACTTCTCGCCCGCCTCGACCAGCGTCGGCCCGGGCGGCGCCGCAAGCGCGTCGCTCCAGATCACCGCCGGCCGAGGAGCGCCGCGCGCAGTCGCCTCTCTCCGGCGGCTTGATGCACGCACCTCCGCTTGCACCTCCGCTTGCACCTCGGTTGTACCCTCCCCTCCGCCCAGGCGGCGCGCGGCTGTCGCACTCGCACGCGTCGCAGTACGCCTACGTCGAGCAGAGTCTGCTGCTGTGGCGGGCGGTGCTGGCGTGTCGCGCCGAGCTCCGCCGAGCTCCTCGCCGAGCTCCGGCCGAGGTGTGCCGCGCCGTAGGCGGGCGGTGCTCGCGCAGCTGCCCCGCATGTGGGCTCTCGCCGAGAAGGCCCTCCTCCCTAGAGGCGGAAGATCTCCCCATCTCTCCCCGCCCCGAGGCTGGCGCGTTTGGCACGCAGGACCTCCTCAGCGGCGGCTACCGGCTGCGCGATACGGGGCAGGGCCGCCACCGCGTGCAGAGCGCGCCAAACGTCGGCCAGCTGATGTCGGAGGTGCTGCGGCGGCTGCAGGCGGAGCAGGGTGGTGGCTGGGTCGGGTCCTCGGCGGTGTGCATTCCTCCCTCTCCCTCTCCCTCTCCCTCTCCCTCTCCCTCTCCCTCTCCCTCTCCCTCTCCCTTTCCCTTTCCTTTTCCCTCCCCAGGTGGGGGGGGCGGGCCCCAGGGAAAATGGGTTTTACCCAAAGGCGGACCGGTTTGGGCAGGTTCCCTTTGGGGACGACGACTTTCCGAACGCGCTGGTGTGGGTCGACAAGTTCTCCCAACCGGGTTTGGGAGGGGGGGATTCGAACATTTTCCCCCCCTCGGGGTGCCCCCGTGCCCTGGCATTGTTGATGAAACCCGGTCCCCCTTGGGTTGTTGCCCCCCCCCCCCCCCCCCCTCCCCCCCTTCTCGCCGCACCACTTTGCGTGTGTGGAGAATATCGCGTGTGTGGGGACACGCTGGCCTGACCTTGCTCGCCGTGCCTCGCAGGTGCCGCGCATCCTCGGCCCGATTGCGCACGCCGTCTCGCAGAGCACTCTCGACTCGCTCGCCGCCAAGCCGGGCGTGCGCGGCTACATCGTCTCCGCGTTTGGCTCGGCCGAGGTGTAGTCGAGATGTGCGGAAGAGAGCAACACGAGGCGAAGAGAGGTGCCCCGCGCGTGCTCCCCAGAGGGCCCTTTGGCTCGCGGTTGGCTCGCGGGAGGCGTGTTGATTCGTAGCGCGGGCCGAACCCTGGGCCCCCTCACCGCGCAGTCCCGGGGAGCACCCTCGGAGCCCCCTCGCAGCCCCCTCGGAGCCCCCTCGGAGCCCCCTCGGAGCCCCCTCGGAGCTCTTCGGCAGGCGTGTCGCCTCGCCGTGCTGGCCGACTTCTTCAAGCACGGCTTCGACGGCTCCGGCGCCGACAACTTCTTTGACGCGGGCTCGTGCATCGACGGCCGGCTAACCTCGGCCTGGCACTTTTGCGCCCGGCTCTCAAAGAAGCCCTACTACCCGCTCTTCCAGATGTCAGGCTTCGTGGGCTTCGACGGCGCCTTTGGCCGCAGGTGAGTGCAGCTTGCGTGGCACAGAGCTGCGGAGCTGCGCCACTGGGCACGTGGGGCGGTCAGACCGGTCGTCGCCCTGGAGCCTGTGCAGGGGTGCTCGAACGTCGAAGCACTGTCCACTGTGCACTGAGCTGAGTGCACTCGAGCATCCTCAAAGCTCATTCCTAGAAGGAGCAAGATACTTGTTTACGCAAACCATTGTGAAAACTCTATCGGGAAGACTGAATGCAGTTGGCGACGGTATATCATTTCCCACACGATGCCACGTCGCCCATCCCGGATACTGACGTATGGGCGACGTGGCATAGAGTGGTGGAAAGGATATACCGTCGCCAACTGAAAAACCACACTCCCGGGTCGCGGAACATGTGTCCGGTTTGGTTGCCGGCCGCCGATGCGGTCGATCGGTGGACTCCTTCGTGCTGGCGAATTCATTTTTTCGACCGCCCTCCCTCCCTCCCACCGCAGCAAACCTTCGGCTCCCGCTCAGAGGCGCGCCGCGCCCGTGCTGCGCGCCGAGGCGGCGCCGAGGCCGGCGCCTTGCACCCGGCCCGCGGCCGGCACCGCCTCGCCCCACAACTGACCGACCTGCGGCCCCTGCGCAGGCGTGCCACAGGCGTCGCTCAAAAAGCGACGCCGGGTGTGGGCTGCTCCCTTGACCCGTCACCCGCCGCGCCCTCGCCCGGCCGCCTCACCGCTCACGGAGCGCTCGGCTGCTCGCCGCCGCCGCCGCGCGTCCCGCGCCGCCACGCT